GAGTTTGTGATTTGTCCTTATCACAAAAATAGTTAAAGGTGACACTAGTACACTTGGAGTGTATTGAACGGACCGCGTGTCGAATTTAATTCTATAGCATGACCGTGCGGAGAATTAAATTTCACTAGACCGCTGTGTATTTCATCTAAATCCCTTGACATGATTATGTATACTTTTCGTGATTTTAATTGTTCTTTGATTCATCAATGGGTGAGATCAATTTGATTGGTCAAATATCTCGATGAGTTGGAAACTTGAAAATGAGCGGAGTAGAGAACATGAATTCATGTCGGGAACCGTCACCCTAAAATATGGGTAGAGTGACTACTTAAGTATTTTCTGTTGAACGGTTAAAATCTGAGCTCAGTGTTTAGCGACGGCTAAACTTCAACATCTGTGATTGGTTCACAGGACCGTTGAAGAAAATGAAACTTAAGTTAGTGAAAATAATTAGAGGGGCAAAACGATCATTTATGCTCGTACCTAATTATCGGATCTCGGACGGGAATAAAATACATGTACAGCAGGTCAGAGGAAAGTATTACAGATTTATTGGCTTCTGTGATCTTATATATTCCTAGAGTTCAGTCTTTTGCCATTAGTGGAAAAAGCAAAGACTAATAATTAGATTGGGTGGTCTAGGGTCGAGTAGACAGGATCTAATTATTGGAGTTTGGATAATATATGTCCGATCAGGTCCCTGTGGTAGCTCTATGAAGTATTGGAGCTTAATTACAGTAATTATAATAGTTTTGGGCTTAATTGTAATTACAATAAAGTTTTGTACTTAATTGTAATTACTACGAAAGTTGTAAACTTAATTATAATTGTAATTAAAGTTAAAGGACTACACATGTAATTAAATGTAAACTAATTGGATTTGGACTAGAACTCCTATTTGAATGTGGAATTATTGATGTATAAGGATTGGAACTCTTTGGTCTCTATATATATAGAGATTATAGGGATCATAGCAATCCAATGGAATAGAATTATATAACATTCATAATTCCATGGTGTTCAACTTTTGGAGAGAGAAAAAGAGAGAGAAAAATTTTGTTTTTCTTGATTTTTCAATTGTCCAGTTCAAGAATTGGTTTTCTTGATTTAATTAAAAGAAGGTGCCCACCCACCGGTGTAGTCTTGACTTTGGAGAATACCATAGAAGACTTGGAGGTTGGAAGCATCAAGTTCTTGAAATTAGAAAGCTGGAAGTTCGTGATCCAAAAGGCTGGAAGTTCGTGATTCAGAATTAATTCAAGAATTGATCGTCGAATTTAGGCAAAAATTTGAATTCATTATTTTTGATATAATATGCACGTGAACATTTAGAAGATCTTGTTTTTGAATTAAAGAAATTTTTTAATTTCTGACTAATTCCGCTTCCGCATTCCAACAACAATTTATAAGTCAACCAATCAATTTTTGCCACATATCATCAATAGAAAAAGACCTATTTGTCCCAAGGCCTAATAAAAAATCTACACATAAGAATAGCTGGGGGTGAGAAAAGGCATGCAAAAATTCAGTAACTTCCTTCCAACAAAATCATTTCTCCTCTTGCTCTTGCTTGAGCATGCGATCAGAGAGTTTAGAAAGGGAAAATCTTGGTTATTTGAGGAGAATTTGTTGATCAATATATTCACGTTGCTGATCAACTTGTGGACTCCCTGACAAAACCATTATCTGACCAGAAGTTCCTTCAGCCTACTTGACGGAAGGTCAATCTTGCAGGATGATAGAAATGAATCTTTAGAATTGATTAACTGAATAATCTTTGTAGTTTATTTCCGTCTTTTACATATATTCTTTTCCTCTTTTATGGCTGCAATCATGGGATCTTCCAATGATCACTGCATTGTAAAGTCTGTATATTGTAATCCTCTTCCGTGCCATATATAAATCTGTTGGTTAGATGATGAAATCAGTATTAGTATATTGACGGCATCGACGAGTCGTGATTGAACCAAAATCCTTTGAAAAAATATAAAAAAGATAGGCCAGCTGACCAACTTTATTTTATATGTTGTAGACTGACATATTTATATATACTAAAAATTTATTACAAGCAAAACAATTAAGTAAAAGATAAGGAGGATGTTCCTTTGGTTCGCTAAAATGGCTCGATTTCATGAAACAGTGGAAAAATCCCTAGTTTTGGGGAAGAAATGGGACGGGATAGAGGGTCAAGTGACTATGATTGTACGATAAAGAAATTTTTTTTTTTTCTTTTCGATTTCTTCGTTTTTATTTGTTTTTATAGAAAACTATAAGATTGCCTAGAATACACTTGACCAAAGTGATGATGTGCAGGGTACCTTCTTCGTTCACGGAATTCGGGACAATTTCCAGGTAAAAGGACCTGTCTGTTCTTAAATTGAAAGCCCAAGGATCTATAAAATAATTGTATGAGGACAAAGGGAAACTAGCCTAAATGTTTGGTGACCAATGTGCAAATTTCCCTTCTTATTATGTGGGAGTGAAACTCAGACGATTTCCTTGCGCGTGGAGATTCTCTTGTTGTTAATTAGATGAAATTGCTCTTTCATTGGGCCCTCATATGAACCACGGGGAAACCATTATTCTTTTAAGCTGAAAAAAAAAATATTATAAGGGTTAATTTCAGCATTGTGGTCATTGAAGTTTCTAATAAATTTCAAAATGGGCATTACAGTATTTTTTTTGCCCTTATACAATTAGTCACTTCATCACAAATACAATAATGATCACTCAATTAGAAACGTCAAACTTAGTACATGTTTGGTAACAATTTTTCACTCCAAAAAATTAAGGGGGTGTTCTCTTTGTGTTTCAGTTTTGTGTTTTGAGTTTTGAATTCATTTTGAGTTTTGTGTTTTGAGTGTTTGTTTTGAAATTGTTGAAAATGCGTTCTTTTTGTTAGTTTCTCAAAACAAAAAAAAATAATTTTTTTTAAAAATTTTGAGAATCACCACAACACCACCTCAAAACACCAAAAAAAAAAAAATTAATTTTTATTTATTTTTTTGAAATTTTGAGAATCACCACACTATCACCTCAAAAAAAAAAATTTTTAATTTTTAATTTTTTTTAAATTTTGAGAATCACCACACCACCTCCTCAAAAAAAAAAAAAAAAAAATGTTTCCCACGTTTTCAATTTTTTCAAGTTTTACACTGAAAACGCTCAAAACGACAAAAAAGTCGTTTTGTGTTTTCTTCACAAATTTTTTTTCGTTTTTGAAAACGGGAAAGAGAACGCGTTTTCACCGTTTTGAAAAATCGAAAACAAAAAACGACCCGAAAACGGTAAAGAGAACAGGGCCTAATTTTTTGACCTTTTTACTGTTCCAACCATCATTTTTTCCTTTTTCACTCAAATGTGTGACCAATTTTTCTCTCTAACGATAAAAAAATCAATTCTTATAATTACTACCGAACAAACATTTAATCCTTGTGTTGCCGTTAAATGACATTGTGAACATAAACGACGTTATTGTTTCCCACCAAGTGAGACAAACTCATGCTTCACATTTTATATAAACTAGTCAAAATTGAATGTGCATTGCACGTCATTTTAAAGTACTTTATAAGTGATATAAAAATAATTTTAGATACTAATTTGTTGGAGGAATTGATGAGTCTCGAACAAATTAAATAAAATAAAATTTAGCATAGAAATCTAAGAGAGAAAAATTGTATTCTCAAAACTCAATTTATATTATTCAATTTTTTTGTAATGATGGAATACTATAAATGAACAATTTTTTATATTACATTTGATACATAAAATTAATTGTCATTACAAAAATTTAAACACCCATTAAAATTTTCAGATACATGAATATGAATAAATTTATCTATAATAACTATAGATTCATGTAATTCAAAAATTCATTGAATCTAAATTAATGTGAATGTTAATTAATTGAGAATTAATAACACAAATTTCATAAATTACACTAATTTTATAGTATTTATTACATATCGAAAAACGAAAAGTAAGGTATTATTGAAATAATTGAATTATAAGGAGGTTAAAATCGTTCAAAAAATAATTCTCCTTTGATATGATAATTTAATATATTATAGATAGATTATAGATTAGACCGGTTTGTATAGTTAAATATAATTAAAAGATGTAAATTTATAGACGTATTTTTGTACAAACCTATTCTGCAGTTGCCGATTGTTAATTCCCAATGTCCAGCCCTTATTTGATTTGAACCCGTAATTTATCATCATCTTTGTATGAAATGAACACTGACTGTAACCCGATTCTCATCCTCTCCAATTGCTCTCTAAATTAACAATCGATCTCCTTTTACTGTTGTGACTACAATTTTAAATGTATTTTTGTTTCATGTGGCAAGAAACATAATCCATATATGTTCGTCGTTACATTTAACGGTTAAGTATAGAATTTTAGGTAGTGATGGCAAAAAAATTCGCCTCACCTCGTCTCATCCCAACGGGTTGGGGTGAAGAGAAAAAATATATAAAAATAATTTTATTTTTAGATAATTCACTCATTAAAGATTTATTTTGAATTTGTATTTTATTCTTTAATATTAGCATAACTCGAAATTGCAAACGAGGCAAAAAGCTACCTCGGCGGGAGGCCGCCGGCCCACACTAAACACGCCCCATTGTCATCCTTAATTTTTGGTTGACGTTTCATTTAAAGTCAAGAAAAATTAACAAAAATTAAAATTCAAAAAATTCCTTGAATCTTTTTAATTCATTTTATGATTTATTTCCGGAATATCTGGTCAATTGTTAGGGAAAAAAATTGTCTCGTCTCCGTCAGATCTGGCTTGCAAAAAGTCAACAACTGGGGTAGTATGAGTGGTTGATGCCTATTAAATTCCAGAACTCTCCTCATCCAACCTTCAAACTTCCAAAAAATCAAACCCTCTGGTCGACAACATGAAGGGGTATTCTAGTAAATTCAACTATTCCACTGCAAATTATTAACAGATCGCCACTTATTAATCACGTAAGATTTTGGTTTCAAGAGAAAAAGAAAAGCAAATTAATTACTGAAAATTGCATGCTGTGGCGGGATTTCTGAATTTTTTAAGCTCTATAATCCTACTTTTTCATCTTCATTTATGTTCGAATACCCAAAATTAAAGAAAAAATTTAATATTCATAATACGAAGTTCTTTTTTCTGCACTTGAACGGTGAAAAATCAGAGCTTGATTTTGCTGATTTTATACTCCACCGTCAGTGGCTTCCGGGACGACTCCTCTCTTTCTCTTCTTAAAAAAGACTCCTTCATTTTCTCTTTTTTTACTTGCACTTCAAGCTGCTTCCACCTAAGATCCATTGTTAGGTACTTAGACAACTTCACATCTCCTTTAATCTTTATATTATCTGTAAAATTGCTGGTTCTTTTTCATTTTTTTTATTTTTATTTTTATTTTTATTTTTTTATTTTTTGAATATGGGGTGAACTGTGAAATGTTACTGACATTCCTCTGTAAGAGTGCCAGGTGACGTGTGAATATTTTTTAGCTGTGCAAATTCATTTTTTCCTTTTTACGTTTTATGAAAGTAAAAACAGTGTCAGTATGGTATTATTGCGACTGTAGTTAGCTTTTCGTTTAATTTTTCTTTAACATTCGTGGGTTTCTCAGAATCCCTTATTCAGATTCTGGCTTTAGTTTTCAAGAAAGAGTCTTTACTTATATTTTGATTATTTTGGTTCTGGGTCCAAGAATATCTGGGAACATTTTGTGGGGTTTCTGCGTTTTATTTTTTTGAATGGCTGATATCCCTTTTGTAAAGTAAACCCCCCCCCCCCCCCCCCCCCCCCCACCCACACACACACAAATCTTTACACAATTTTCTTTGATCTATTTCAGCTACCTCCTAAGTACCGTTTGAGACTAATTCACAATTCTTAGATTGCTGAATTGACGTGTATTAACTAATGGGATTTCGATGTTTGAATTTCGAGTCATTTGCTACTCCAAATTGAATTTAGCGTCTTTACTGTTGAGGCGGTTTATACTTAAAAGAGGAAATTGTGATAGGCACTTAGGCATTGAAATATTTAATTTAGTGGTCATCTAATGTCTATGGAATTGCTTGATTAAGCAGTTATTGATGTGCATACAATATTTCCTTTACAAGTTTTTAATATTTTTTTTCATGATTGATTGTAATTGTTTATCATGGATTGCATGCTGTGTGAAGATTACAGTGATGACATTGTATTGATGCACGACTGTACAGTACGGTAGCGGCTAATGCTTAGGTCAGTGGTGGTATAATGTCGAGGATCACAAAATGGAAGCTTGAGAAGACTAAAGTGAAGGCAGTTTTCCGGCTCCAATTTCATGCCACAGATGTAAGATTCTCTTTGACTCCTCTCTCAAAGACTATTTCCCTATAAGTTTGGATGTTTTAAACTCAGTGGGGATATTGGTTCATTTGCATTTTCTGATGCTATAAATCTAAGTGAATGCTTTCTCTTTTGCCCTTGTTTGAGCCCCATTCTTGCCAAAGAATTCATTTTTGAATAGTGTATTGATGGAAAATATGTGGTTAAAAAAGAAAGAAAATTTTTGGATTTACGTGTAATATTATTTTAATGAAAAATGTGTGGTTAAAATGAGGTCAAATCACTGTTGAAGAATGTATTTTGATGTATGGGGCTCAAACAAGGGCTTAATATGAAACTGGCAGCCCTAAGGCAGGGAAGTGACATGGTGTTCAACATGTTAATCAAATTTTTAGGCTTCACAGAATGATCTAACACTAGTAAATGCGACACATAGTGGAATTTCAGGAACTTCATAAGTGTCCTGTGCGAGAGGGAAGTTTACACGGCACTGGATGCTGAGCCCGAAAGAATAACATATGTGATACTGATAAATGTAACACCATGCTATACTATATCAATGTGAACCAGAACCTGCCTGTAACTGTGTTTGGAGACCATGCGTTTCCTCTCTCTCCTTATAAGCTCAAATATGCCCACCCAAGATAACGATATATATCGGATGCTTCTAATATGTTGATTTAACATCATGTTACCGAGTGTTAATCACAAATTCGGAGTATCAAGTTTAATTATGATTCACAAAATGCCTTTTCAAGATTTAGTTTTGCATCATCTCCATTTTCCTTTTGACATCGTGAAACTGTAAAAGAATTGGACTCCCTAAGTTTTCAACGTGGACGAAAACTAATAATCTTATAAATCATGTTATGTAATCTGGGTTGTTCTGCAATCATCTTTATATACTTCATTCTTTTGTAGTTAAACGCTACAATCACGTACTTATGTGCAGTTAAAAAGCATGCCCCTGGTCTTTGGAATTGGGGATAAGAATAATTTCATGTTTATATAGCTATCCACTTTCTTTATCATATAACCAAATTTTTGAATATTGTAGGAATTGTATTCAATTAGCCTTCAAAAATAATCATTTGGTAGTGCTACTTCATTAGTCATCTGTAAGGATGGCTGCATTTGATTGGATACATTGTGATGGTGGACCATATAAGCCACTATGAATGGCAAGTTTGAAGTAATTTTGTAGTGGTTGACACAGGATCAAATTTTACATATAAGGATCGACAATGAAAATCTTTTTCACTATTTCATTTCATTTATTGCATTACTATTGCAGAATTTTATAATAGTAGCCATTGTGCATAATTAACACGAGAATCTACCTTCCTCAATAGATTATTATTGTTTTCAAGAATATCCTGGTATTAACATTTAAGGACAAGATATGTTAGGTTTGTGACAACAAGAAAAATAATTTAATAATTATAGATGTAGTTAAGAAACCAAATATTGTTTTAATACTATGTGAGAAACACTTGACAATGCAAGTATCTCTATCAGATCAATGGGATATACAATATTTATATATGAAAACAGTGGGAGGCATGTTAGATCAGTAATTTAGATAAGCTCTATGAAGAACATGCATGACTGTGCTTAAAAGTTACTCTTTTAGAAAGTAATTTAAGATTTTCTTTAGAAAAGTAACTTTCAAAATCATGTTTGGAAAATAAGTGACTTAGAAGTAAGTTTGACTTACAGTGAGCAAAATCAACCATGCTCAAGGTGTTTAGTTATTATGGAATTTGCTGCAATATAGTTTCTTAAAGAGTCGATAGTAGAGGGTTGATATTATGAAATATAGAATTAGATGTATAACAAAGGCAAACCTCTTGCATCTACAATGGCTAATGACAGGATTATTCACATTTGATTTTTCAGGTTCCACAAAGTGGATGGGATAAGTTATTCATATCATTAATCTCTGCTGATTCTGGAAAGGCAACTGCTAAAACGACCAAAACAAGTGTGAGAAGTGGAACGTGTAAATGGGCAGATCCTATTTATGAAACTACAAATCTTCTCCAAAACTCCAAAAGCAAACAATATGACGAGAAGCTCTGCAAACTTGTTGTGGCCATGGTAGTGTTTATATCTTGACTATTATTTCTAATTTGAATCATTTCCATTGTTCCTGGAGTTTATGGCTTTATAATTTTCAGCATAAACAAAAAGTAGTGAAAGATTTGATGGCTAGGTGTGCCACGGCATGTAAAGATTTTATGCATATTTTCCACATCTAACCTCACGTGTTCTTTGCTAATATATTGGGGAAAGCCAACAATGTGAACCTGACGTAGGATGAAATCAATCTAGCATAGGAGAAGGGGAAAGGTAAGAGAAGAAGTGAAAGGAGGGAGATAGGTGGAGGGAAGGAGAATTTTTATTCATATCAAAGTTGTCCTATTACAAAGCATAAGGCCCCTAGGGATTCAATGATTCTACTCTAAGTAGGAATATAGCCTCTGTTTGGTAGGAATTAAAATCTAGAATTTAATTTAAGTCAAAGTCAATAATTAATTTTAACGACATATTTCGTGAGACTTACAATTTTTCAACAGCACATTTCACCAACTTTTATCAAAATCTATTGAAAATCTGATTTTAATCCTCATCAAACAAGGGCATAATAGAAGCGTCAAAATTGGAAACTAAATATAATAATATCCCTTCTAATACTCCATTAGAATCTGTCCCATGACCACTTAATTACCAAACATTGATCTCTAGAGTAGGGGTAGAGTTGGTAAATTTCTTGCTCCATGCCCTCCCTGAGCTGAAATATGATATGAATCCATAATATAGTTTGTAAAGTACTGAAAGACCCATACATGACCTGACTTAGCAAGAAAGACTGTCTGAACACCTAAAATGTGTCTATTTTATTTCTCTCATTTTACACATTACTAAAGAATGAAAATATTGAATTTCAACCTAGGTTAGAGTAGTAATCTGTTATTTGTCTATTTTTGATAGAGAGAATGATGCTTATGTTTGACTGAATGATTTTCCTTTTTCTTGTGTCTTGGATTACGGTGGTTTTTTGTTTTTTAATTTTTAACTTCAATTAACTTTTCATTTTGACTCAATTTCTTCGGTTTCAGGGTTCTTCGCGTGCTAGCATCCTTGGTGAGGCTATTATCAATCTTGCTGATTATGCTGATGCATTGAAGCCTTGTGCCATTGCACTTCCTCTTCAAGGATGCAATTTTGGAACTATATTACATGTAAGAGGGAAATGAAGTTTGCTAAAAACATTTTTATTGTAAATTTTACTGCATTATGCAAACCACTTGAATGCCCAATTAGAATGAGTTACTCTACAGGAATTTCCAACATCTGAAGGATGTGTGCTCCTATTTAATCTTCAGATACTAAGTTCAGATTGTTTCCTGCATTCCTATTCTTTTCAAGTTAGTAGATTTCGAACTTAGTAGGTGCAAAGGGTGTCTTCCTTTCGCCCATGTTGTTACTATATTATGAAAACTGAGGAGCTAGAAGTGATCCATTAAAATAGTCATATAGAGAATGCAAAGACTTTGTTTAGAAATCAAGGAATCTTCACATTAACCTACAAATCTATTTGGTTCCTTGGCGACTGTTGCAGCAAAAACCTTAAGCTTGTTGAAGATTTTATAGCTTATGGGTCATTCGGTCCTTTTTGTCTTACAAGAATAGAGAGTGCAACTCCTTGCGTGCGAGTAGGCCATTAGCTGGTAATCTCACCCTTGGAGAAAATCCTTTTCCGTGTACTGAGCAATAGCTAACATAACTTGATTTCTTTATATTAAACTCAGTTCTATTACTAAAAGATTGAAGATCGATGATGAGATGTGAACACTTGTCTGGAATACCGGTTTATGAGATGTTGATGCTTGACAAGAATATACATAGTTGTCATTCATAGCTTGTCCTTCCTGTTAGTTTGGCCCATGCATCTCCATATTTAATTTTTTGGCAATGTAGTGTTTCTTTCTCTCTTTTTTATTTTTTTTGTCTAATTTGTGTCATAGATTTACTTGTGATAAAGTTGTTCAATATGGTTTCTTCTGTAATTTCATTGACTGCTTCTTTATGTTCCAGGTTACGGTCCAGCTCTTGACTTCAAAGACCGGATTTAGGTACTGCATCATTGCTCTTAATACTAACCTTGATTTACGATAAATTAATTAAACTTGAGATTTATTTGCTTGCAGGGAATTTGAGCAACAGAGAGAACTCAGAGAAAGAGGGTTGCTAGCAGGAGTTGATGGCCAGCGTGGTGATAGTGGTACTGGCAAAATATCACGTTCTGATGAGAACTCCATTGAACAGATGGATAAGGTCTGACTATTTCTTTGCTTCTGTCCGTGGAAACAGTTGTGTATGTGATTATTTCTTCTCATTCTTTGTTTATGCCATTCCCATGGACTTGCTTATTAGTATGTTCTGACTGATGCGAGAAACCAGGTTAAGAAATATTTGTGGATTAATAATGCTCTGTTGTGGATGATGCGATCTCCGATGCCTTTGCCTGCCTTTTACTACATGTTCGACAACTTTTCTAGAAATGTGATAATGGAGATAAGAAGTGATAATGTTGAATTGACATGGCTTCTCTCTGTAATGATTTTTCTGTTTATATCCTCATGCAGGAAAAAGGAATAATTAGATTGAGATCAGATGTTAAAGATCTCTCTTCAGCTGAGGAAGACGTAAGCCTGAATGAAGAATATGCAGACTTGGGTGTTGGAATCGATGATTCATCCAATAACTCAGAAAGTTTATATGCTGAAAAGCACGAGACTTCCAGCATGCATGAAATTGATAGCCTCAAAAGTATGGTATCTGATGATTTGAATGGTCTTTCCTGTTGTCAGAGTCTACATACTGAAAAAGGAGATCCATCTGATCATCAAATTAGGGCACAAGGGAGTAGTGATTTGGCTCACAGGTGGAATTCGGACTATTCCATGGATAATGAGTTGGCAATATCCCATGAGGAGAATAATAGACTTAGAGGAGGCTTGGAATTGGCTGAATCGTCTATTTTGGACCTTAAGATGGAGGTCAGCTCCTTGCAGAGCCTAGCTGATGAATTGGGTATTGAAACGCGGAAGTTCTCTGACCTCATTGTCACTGAGAAATCTTCAGTTGAAGAATTGACAAAAGAAGTCTCTTTCATGAAATCGGAATGCTTGCAATTCAAGGAAGATATAGAAACGCTTAAAGAATTGAAACTTAGCCCTCAAATGACTATTCAGGAAACCAGCATCAATCAGGGTAATCACTTACTTCAGAACATTCAGGTCAAATGGTTAAAGAAGATATCAGTAGTGGAGGACACGATAAGAGAACTTCAAAATGAAGCATGTGTTGGCTTCCATGAAAGCAATAGTAGATTTATTTATTCCAAGTTGGAAGCAGTGCTCGCTATTCTTCTGGATATTAAATGCAGAAATGGTGAAGTAGTTCAAAAGGGTGAACAGTATTTATCTGCCAACGAGCTTTCCACGGACTCATTTCAGCCGGAAAGTATTCTTCATCATTTAAGTGTACAGCTTCCAGAGTCTCAAGTGCCCAACTCTAATGCGGTTATTGATGCTATGAAAGGCCAAATTTTAGATCTTGTAAGGGAGTTGGATGAGGCTAAAGTTGAAAGGGAAGGTGAAGTGAAAAAAATGAATCAGATGGAATGCTATTATGAAGCCCTTATTCAGGAGCTCGAGGAAAATCAGAAGCGAATGATAGGAGAGTTGCAGAGTCTCAGGAATGAGCATTCTACTTGCCTTTACACTATATCTGCTGACAGAGCTGAAATTGAATCAATGCGTCAAGATATGAATCATCAGGTCTTAAGATTTGCAAATGAGAGACGAGGTTTGGATGCCCTTAATAATGAGCTTGAAAAAAGGGCTGCTACTTCGGAAGCAGCACTCAGAAGAGCTCGATTAAATTACTCAATTGCAGTGGATAAATTACAGAAGGACCTTGAGCTGCTTTCTTCTCAGGTTGTGTCCATGTTTGAGACTAATGAGAATATCATAAAGCAGGCTTTTCCTGAATCTCCCCCACCATGTTTGCTAGGAAACCCAAAAATATTGCAGAGTCAAGAGGATTATGATCCTACAAAAGTGTTGCAGAATAGCAATCAAAATTTGGGTCCAAGGAAACAAGCAGTAGGTGGAGATATCCTATTAGAGGACTTGAAGAGATCCCTCTACTTGCAGGAAGGGCTTTATCAAAAGGTTGAAGAAGAGCTCGGCGAAATGCATTCTGTGAACTTAAACTTGGACATATATTCAAAGACATTGCAAGAAATGCTGCTTGAAGCAAATGCTGACATTAACATGATAAATGGAAAAAATTATGAACTTGCTGAGGAGTTGGAGCTTTCAAATGCCGTCAAAAATCAGCTAATTGTAAGGTTGCAGAAGGCCATGGATGATATTCAAACTCTTAATGAGTACAAGTCTAGTTGCATTGCCCAGTGTAGTGACATGGCTCTGCAAAATCAAATCTTAGAAGAAAAATTAGAGAGTATATCCAAGGAAAATTTTCTTCTTACACAGAAGCTGATAGACTGCAAAGAACTTGTAACTGAATACAAAAGTTACCAAAGCAAATTTGAGACTTGTTTGGCAGAGAATGCAGAGCTATCACTTCTGTTGAAACATGAAGCATCAGAAAATGCGAATCTTCAAAATGAAATCTCTCTTTTAAAAGAAAATTTGACGATGCTTAAAGCTGAATCAGATGAATTGGCTTCTGTAAAGGAAAAGCTTCAGGAAAATATCTGCTTTATGAAAGATAAGCTGGCTACTCTGTTGTTATCATACAGTAAACAATTTCGTGGATTGGCTTTTTTCAGTAATTCTCAATGTCTTGATGAGTGCACAGATTTCAAAGATGCCATCTTGCAGTTAGAAGAAATCCAACAAAGTGCATCTGGAAAGATACTTCAATTGCTAGAGGAGAAGAAAATTCTAGAAAGTGAAAGAGTAAGTGCTGAGATGTCCTTGAGTGCTGCCAAGTCAGAAATTCTGGCAACGAAGCAGAAATTCAAATGTGACATGCAGGATATGGCGGCTAAATTAGATGTATCAAATGCACTTGTGGATAACCTTCAAGTTCAATTCAAATCTGTTGCTGACAAATTCCACCATACTTCTGAAATTGAAGAAAGGTCCGCAAAGCAGAATAGAGAACTTCTGGATTATCTTGCTCTTTTACAAGATCAGATGCAGGAACTGACGTCTAAAAATGGTCACATTGCTCAAGAGATGTTAGGCTTGGACACCTTGGCTGAGGAACTCGGGAACAATAAGTCGACCATAATGGAGCTAATTCAAGATAACCAAGACCTCAGGGTGAACTTACAGGATAAAACTGGAGAATCTATCAAGCTAGCATCCGAGATTAGTTGTCTGGAAGGAAAATTGAGAAATATTCACAATGAGTTACAAATTGAAAAGGGTTTCAAAGATGAACTAGAGGGAAAAATGCAAGATCTTGCTTCTCAGTTGAACAAGGAGCATGACAAAGTGATCTATTTCGAACAGCAAAAAACTGAACTAACGCACTTCAGGCAAGTGGCATCAGATCTAGAATTGGAAAAATCAAGACTTCATCACCTTTTGAATCAGCAAAACCGGATCATGGAAAAGCTTCAAAAAAGTTCGTCTCGTACAACTGATTTTGAAAGTCAGTTATTTGAAATGCAAGATTACTCAATTGCTGCAGATGTTAAACTTGCTTATATCACAAACCAATATCAAACCCTACATGAGGAACATGTAACGAAATTTGAAGGTGACATGCAGGATATGGCTGATAAACTAGTAGTGTCCAATGCCCTTGTGGACAAACTTCAAGTTCAACTCGAATTTGTTGCTGACAAATTTCACCTCACTTCTGAAATTGAAGAAAAGTCTGCACAGCAGAACAGAGAACTTTTGGCTGATCTTACTCTTTTACAAGATCAGATGCAGGAACTGACGTCTAAAAATGGTCACATTGCTCAAGACGTGTTAGGCTTGGATGCTCTCGCTGAGGAGCTCGAGAGGAATAATTCAACCATTACAGAGCTAAGAAAAGATAAGAAAGACCTTATGGTGTCCTTACAGGATAGAACTGGGGAATCTATTGAGCTTGCATCTGAGGTTAGTTGTTTAAAGGAAAATTTGAGAAAATTGCATGAAGAGCTACGTATTGAAAAGGGCTTCAAAGATGAACTAGAGGAGAAAATGGCAGATCTTAAGGTTCAGTTAAACAAGGAACATGACAGAGTGTTCAATTTTGAACAGCAAAAAACTGAACTGATGCACTTCAGGCAAGTAGCATCAGATCTTGAATTTGAGAAATCAAGACTCTCTCACCATTTGACGCAACAAAATGAGTTTATGGAAAGGCTTCGGAAAAGTTCTTATACAAATGATCTCGAAAGTCAGCTATTTGAAATGCTAGAGTACTCAATTGCTGCAGATGTTAAACTTGCTTATGTCACAAAACAATATGAAATCCTACTTCAGGAACTTGTGCAGCAACTTAAGTCCTCAGATGAGTACCTTTTGGAGCTTCAGAAAAGGTATCATGATTTGGAGGCTATGTTAAATCAGCGCCTTGCAAGTGAAGTTCATTTGACTGAGGAAAATTCTAATTTGTTGACCAGCTTTAAAACCCTAAGAACAGAATTCGAAGCTTCTGTAGCTCAAAACAAGCTTCTTTCGGATTCTAATCATGATATCAATTATCAACTTGAGGAGTACAAGAGGAAGTTGACAATGATGCAAACCAGTTTTTCAAAGGATAATTTGCAAGCTGTAATGGTAGAACAGCTAAAAGACACTTTGGCAGAGGCTGAAGAGGATATTCATCACTTGACATTGTTGAAAGAGGAGTTGGAAATTTTATCAATAGTGCTCAAAGGCAAGGTGGATGAACAATATACTTATATGACTTCATTGGAGGATAATAGAGACGAACTCCTGATGCTTCGATCCCGATGTAACGTGCTGTCCCACAAGCTTTCTGAACAGGTTATGAAGACTGAAGAATTTAAGAACTTATCCATCCATTTGAAGGAACTCAAAGACAGAGCTGAAGCTGAATCTTCCCATGCTCGTGAAAAAAGAGAACCTGAAGGACCACCAGTTATCATGCAGGATACCTTGAGAATTGCATTCATCAAAGAACAGTACGAGACTAAAATCCAAGAACTGAAGCAACAGCTTTCTATATCCAAAAAGCATGGTGAAGAGATGCTTATGAAATTGCAAGATTCAATTGATGAAATTGAAAATAGGAAGAAGTCGGAAGCTGTGAACATGAAGAGGAACAATGAGCTATCGTTCAAACTCTTGGAATTGGAAACAGAATTGCAGTCTGTACTTGCAGAAAAGCGTGAAAAGGTCAATGCTTATGATCGCATAAATGCAGAATTGGAATGTGTGGCTCTGAGCCTTGAATGTTGCAAGGAAGAAAAAGAAAAGCTTGAAGCTTCTTTCAGAGAATGTGAGGTGGAAAAATCTCAACTTGCTGTTGAACTTGACTCGATAAAAGAACTGAAGAAATTCAGATCTTTCAGCAATGTTCAAAAGGAGGAAAATAATGAGGTGGCTGAAGTAGAGTACGTTCTCAATGAGTCATCTAGAAACTCTTCCCCTAATTTCTTCTGCTCAGTGTGCTCAAAAGAAATGGTAACTACTCAGTTAGCAACATATTGAAATAAGTTTTTTACCATTTATTCTATAATATTTGTCATGCACAAAGTAGTATGGATCTTGAGAACCATGATGCATACCCAAGTAGAAGTTTTTTGAGGTATGAAGCAAGAGAATAAAGTATATACATGTTAATTGGTGTCGAGTCTGTCAACCACCTCCATGGAGAAAAAAAAAAAAAAAAAAAAAAAAGAACTTCTTTTGCCATATAACCATAAAATTTGCTCTAAATTTCTTACTATGGTGGTTCGCCAAAATGATTGTTTAGTAATTTAGAACTTTAGTTAAAATTATTGATATTTTCAAGTTTTCATATATTCCTTCGACATACAAATACTTTGGACCAAAATAATCATCTGCAATTATTTAATAGGATGCGGCGTCCCTAGGCATGCATGGGATTCCTGAGGTACTTGTTGGAGGTGAATTGCTGCAGAACAATGGAAAGAGTTTAAATGTCAGTAGTGATCATTTGGCAACCCAAAGACTGAAGTCTAGCATAGAGCACATGCATGAAGAGGTATTTCTTTCTCAGATCATAAATTACTGATATTACATTCTGCAACATAAGATCATAACTCTAAAACTTCTGCTTCTAACACTAAATTGCCGGGGATCTGTTTGATGGGGTTTCCCTGCAGCTGGAAAAGATGAAAACTGAAAATACTCACTTTCTCAAAGATCGTGATTTTGACCCTGATTTTCAAGATCCAGAAGAAGAACTCGTGCAATTACATAAGGTGAGCTGACTATCTTATGGAACTTATATTTATATTGCCTGCAAAGTCTCATCTCCATTTCTTCATGTTTCTTTGGAAGGTAAATAATGAGCTCAGAAGCATGTTTCCTTCGTTCAATGAAATATCTACCGGAAATGCATTAGAAAGAGTACTTGCGCTGGAAATCGAGCTTGCTGAATCAATGAAGACAAAGAATAAATCAAATATCCATTTCCAGAGGTAAGTCATCCTCAAATTTGCAATTCTTGAAATGGAATTCTATGGGTAATTACCAAATTTAACATGATATTTTGCTCCAAATTTCAGTTCATTCCTGAAACAACACAGCGACGAGGAAGCAGTGTTCAAAAGCTTTAGAGACATCAATGAGCTGATCAAACAAATGTTAGAAATCAAAGGCAGCCGTGCAGCTGTGGAAGCAGAACTGAGAGAAATGCACGATAGGTACTCTCAATTGAGCCTCCAGTTTGCTGAGGTCGAAGGTGAGAGACAGAAACTCAAGATGACGCTAAAAAACATCCGTGCATCAAAAAAGCTCTAAGCTCAAGTCGATCCTCGTCTTCGGATCACCATTAACTCAGCCACCGGATAAAGCTTCAGAATATGTTATATTTATCTCGTGGGGTTTGAAAGCTAAATGCACACCTTGATGTAAATAAAAATGAGGTGGCCAGAGATTTTTACCAGCATAAAATTGCGGTGTAGATTTATGTAATTTAAGTCTTTTATTTACCTTACAGTCTTTTGCTCCTTTTACCTTATCCAAGCGTTCTGCCTTCTCTTTGTTGTAATTAATATTGTATAGATAATCTATTGGTTCAATTTATCATTCCTGTTTTAAGACAGTGCTAGAGGTCTCCATTGATGCATGTTATCTTTAAATTAGATTCAAAATTATAAATTCGAATTGGTTTATGAGAAATTTATGATTTTAGAACCCCCATTTTCGTCCTTCGATTCACATGCTTCATGCTTCAAAACACAATCGAAAACAAGTTACAAATCAAATATACCATGTAACAAGTTCTGTATCATCTATTTTCAAGAAATCCATTAGAAACAATACAATACGATACAACCCAATTGTGAAGCAATACACTTTGCTTTTGCTCCTTTACGTATTGAGTTCTGCAAATGCTCATCTGCATATCGACTTCCTATGAAACCAATGCATAATAAGAACTCAAAAAGCAACTGCATTACACTCTACAATTAGGCATAAACAATGGGAAAGCACTGAACCGGCATAACAATGGAAACGGAACAGGTAAACTTGGCGTCTCAGCTTCTTTGAATCTATTAACAGGTGCAATACTCCTACATGCAATCCAGCTACCTCTAATGCAAACAACTTGGGAAGCACAGATTTGTCAGGTCACTCACAAGATAGAGCACGAACATCCGCCTTTTTTCATGGTATCATCGTCCTGTTTATCTGTGCATATGAATTTAGATAAAAATTAAGGAAGATATGGTAATAGGAAGAAGAGAAACAGAGCAAGAAGTTACAAGAGTAAGGAAGAGAGAGGAACAAGGCTTCCAATAAGAGAACAGCTTGGGAAATATGGCATGTTCAGTAAGGAAGATATGGTAATAGTGTACGATACTAAGCAAGAAAAATAAGCTAAAATGTCACTTAATTATACTGGCGAGTGCTGGACCAAACAATTTATTAACGCTTCAGATAGGTAGGGCAAGCCATTTATCTAAAATCATCACGTATGTGCAATATATATATAATGCACTGAAATGTATTCTTTTGTGGATTACCAGTATTTTTGTCCAGATGAAGAGGACGCACAACAACATGCATAGTGATGACACCTCCAGGAACTTCAGTGAGTGGCAATCGTGATTCCATAAGTGTTCTGTTGTTTTCGAGTATCTTTCCGGCATTAATAAGCTTTAAATCATTTATGGATTTTGGTCCATTTTCTTTGTCTGCATTATGAATGATTACATTACAGAACATGTAAAAATAATATACCATCTTAATACGAATGAAGAAGATATAGGCTTAATATAATAGCTCGGTGGATACTGTAAACACAAGCTTATGTAGAGAACTAATGGATCCTCACACAAGTACGTTTTCTTTCACTTGTGTCTTCGTTATAATTCTTAAGCTTGTCTGGTCATCGTATTTTGATGTTAAAAAAAAAAAAAAATACACACACACACACAAAAGGAGCCTATCTAATCAAACAGTTGCTTGATCGATGAAATGTCCTCTCTATGGAAAGAGGTTTTCTCTGTGTGGAAGGAATCCATGGTAGCTGAGATTAAAGTCAACAAGCATGGAGAAAACCAAAACTTTAAAAAAATCATTTAGCTTTTCTTGTAAGCTAAGATAAAAGGATTAAAGAAAATAGAAATTTGCATTGCTCAAGTCATTGACTGAGGAACTTGAGGCTTTACAGCTCCTTAAAGGGAATTCATTTAGCAGTTATGTCCTGGACAGGAGAATCTTGATGGAACTGTTGGGAAATACTAAGAAATTTTTCATGAGTGCAGCGTACTAAATAATATATGCATCATAACATGAAAACTAGAACTATATATTCAAGCCTGCACAAAAATAATTCGATTTCCAACACACGAAACCAAGCAATAAAATTGAATCAGATAATCCTAAATTTCGAGCAGAAGAATACAAATTAACTCTTGAAATTTCATACTTTCTTAGAAATCAATGAAAAAGGAAAACCTTTGGGCCATTGTGCGATTATCTTTTCTTTGAGAAATCCCACAGTTGTACTGGAACTGTATTTGATTGGTCCAATATCACTGCCATCAGCAAGCCTGAATTTGAGCTCGACCAATTCTTCCACGGCCATTAACAATCTTACAATAATAGATAATCCAAATTTCTTGTAAACCCACAAGTCAATTCAATTGCAGCATCACATTAGACTTAAAAAATCCACCCCTTTTGTTGTTCAATAAACAACAACTCCTTCAAAACAAAAAATTAAGGCTAAAAACTAAATAACCCAGATCAATCAAGAAATGTACAGAAATTCAAATCTCCTATTCTCCATTTCGGGTACAGATCCTCAAGAATCAAGATCAAAACTTACAAGATTTGCAATTAATTTATGAAAAGGAATAAATTTATGAGAACTTTAGAGTTCGAATTCTCTTTGCACGAAACGGTAATGCAAATGGGTTGATGATTGAATTGAATACTTGTCAGCTGCAAGAATGAGAAACTTTATTGTGCTTTGAATATTTTATTGATGTGGGATTTTTCTTTTCCTTAAAGAAATACAAATTTACGACTGCCAAAATGGAAGGTTTCCAAGCAAGATTCTTTTTCTTGAATCAGTCTGGAAAATTTATTGACTTTTGATATAGATATTTTACTCGTTCCGTGAACAGTTGCAGCTGAGAAATTTGACTGCATAAATTGCACCAGGACCGCTTCATCTTCCCACTAATTGAACTGCTCAGAGGGAAATCTTTCACATATTTGGAAATTCACCCTACAATATAGGGTAAAAAACTTAAAAGAAGTGATTTTAGTACTTATAAAAAAAAAAGGGAAAAATATTGAACGTTGAATTAAGCTGCCAAATCTTTGTTTCTCGGTCAGTATTCATTTCTTTACTATTCCACACAGGATATACTAGCTTTTTCCATTTGTTTGTGCAGCTGATAATATGCACGTGATTGCAAATCTTGATCTATGTTTTATTCTCATGTAGTTATATGCAATAATGTTATATAGGGTCTGTTTGGTAGTGATTATAAGAATTGATTTTTTAACCATTAGAGAAAAAAGTGAGTCTTACCTGTGAGTAAAAAAGTAAAAAATAACAGTTGGAATAATGAAATAATGAGCAAAAAAATTGATTTTTTTTTTTTGTGTGAAAAATTGCTACCAAACGGGGGTTAGTATAATTTTGTTTATTTATTTTATTTTTTAATTACATAAATTGTTTGATTCGATTTAAATGGTTTTTTAAGTTCGGAACCTAAGTCAAACATGATCTAATTAGTTTGGTTCGATGCTAAATTGAAATATTGATGGATCCAGGTTGATCCAAATAAATAATTTCCAACATGTTTGGTTAAGTTCGCAATTTAAAAAGTCAAAATTTAAATCAATGGTTTCCTACGTATTTGGTTTCGAGGTTCTCTATACATACTAAGGTCTAAGCTCAGGAATGAGCATTCTACTTGCCTTTACACTATATCTGCTGACAGAGCTGAAATTGAATCAATGCGTCAAGATGTGAATCATCAGGTCTTAAGATTTGCAAATGAGAGACGAGGTTTGGATGCCCTTAATAATGAGCTTGAAAAAAGGGCTGCTACTTCGGAAGCAGCACTCAGAAGAGCTCGATTAAATTACTCAATTGCAGTGGATAAATTACAGAAGGACCTTGAGCTGCTTTCTTCTCAGGTTGTGTCCATGTTTGAGACTAATGAGAATATCATAAAGCAGGCTTTTCCTGAATCTCCCCCACCATGTTTGCTAGGAAACCCAAAAATATTGCAGAGTCAAGAGGATTATGATCCTACAAAAGTGTTGCAGAATAGCAATCAAAATTTGGGTCCAAGGAAACAAGCAGTAGGTGGAGATATCCTATTAGAGGACTTGAAGAGATCCCTCTACTTGCAGGAAGGGCTTTATCAAAAGGTTGAAGAAGAGCTCGGCGAAATGCATTCTGTGAACTTAAACTTGGACATATATTCAAAGACATTGCAAGAAATGCTGCTTGAAGCAAATGCTGACATTAACATGATAAATGGAAAAAATTATGAACTTGCTGAGGAGTTGGAGCTTTCAAATGCCGTCAAAAATCAGCTAATTGTAAGGTTGCAGAAGGCCATGGATGATATTCAAACTCTTAATGAGTACAAGTCTAGTTGCATTGCCCAGTGTAGTGACATGGCTCTGCAAAATCAAATCTTAGAAGAAAAATTAGAGAGTATATCCAAGGAAAATTTTCTTCTTACACAGAAGCTGATAGACTGCAAAGAACTTGTAACTGAATACAAAAGTTACCAAAGCAAATTTGAGACTTGTTTGGCAGAGAATGCAGAGCTATCACTTCTGTTGAAACATGAAGCATCAGAAAATGCGAATCTTCAAAATGAAATCTCTCTTTTAAAAGAAAATTTGACGATGCTTAAAGCTGAATCAGATGAATTGGCTTCTGTAAAGGAAAAGCTTCAGGAAAATATCTGCTTTATGAAAGATAAGCTGGCTACTCTGTTGTTATCATACAGTAAACAATTTCGTGGATTGGCTTTTTTCAGTAATTCTCAATGTCTTGATGAGTGCACAGATTTCAAAGATGCCATCTTGCAGTTAGAAGAAATCCAACAAAGTGCATCTGGAAAGATACTTCAATTGCTAGAGGAGAAGAAAATTCTAGAAAGTGAAAGAGTAAGTGCTGAGATGTCCTTGAGTGCTGCCAAGTCAGAAATTCTGGCAACGAAGCAGAAATTCAAATGTGACATGCAGGATATGGCGGCTAAATTAGATGTATCAAATGCACTTGTGGATAACCTTCAAGTTCAATTCAAATCTGTTGCTGACAAATTCCACCATACTTCTGAAATTGAAGATAGGTCCGCAAAGCAGAATAGAGAACTTCTGGATTATCTTGCTCTTTTACAAGATCAGATGCAGGAACTGACGTCTAAAAATGGTCACATTGCTCAAGACGTGTTAGGCTTGGATGCTCTCGCTGAGGAGCTCGAGAGGAATAATTCAACCATTACAGAGCTAAGAAAAGATAAGAAAGACCTTATGGTGTCCTTACAGGATAGAACTGGGGAATCTATTGAGCTTGCATCTGAGGTTAGTTGTTTAAAGGAAAATTTGAGAAAATTGCATGAAGAGCTACGTATTGAAAAGGGCTTCAAAGATGAACTAGAGGAGAAAATGGCAGATCTTAAGGTTCAGTTAAACAAGGAACATGACAGAGTGTTCAATTTTGAACAGCAAAAAACTGAACTGATGCACTTCAGGCAAGTAGCATCAGATCTTGAATTTGAGAAATCAAGACTCTCTCACCATTTGACGCAACAAAATGAGTTTATGGAAAGGCTTCGGAAAAGTTCTTATACAAATGATCTCGAAAGTCAGCTATTTGAAATGCTAGAGTACTCAATTGCTGCAGATGTTAAACTTGCTTATATCACAAACCAATATCAAACCCTACATGAGGAACATGTAACGAAATTTGAAGGTGACATGCAGGATATGGCTGATAAACTAGTAGTGTCCAATGCCCTTGTGGACAAACTTCAAGTTCAACTCGAATTTGTTGCTGACAAATTTCACCTCACTTCTGAAATTGAAGAAAAGTCTGCACAGCAGAACAGAGAACTTTTGGCTGATCTTACTCTTTTACAAGATCAGATGCAGGAACTGACGTCTAAAAATGGTCACATTGCTCAAGACGTGTTAGGCTTGGATGCTCTCGCTGAGGAGCTCGAGAGGAATAATTCAACCATTACAGAGCTAAGAAAAGATAAGAAAGACCTTATGGTGTCCTTACAGGATAGAACTGGGGAATCTATTGAGCTTGCATCTGAGGTTAGTTGTTTAAAGGAAAATTTGAGAAAATTGCATGAAGAGCTACGTATTGAAAAGGGCTTCAAAGATGAACTAGAGGAGAAAATGGCAGATCTTAAGGTTCAGTTAAACAAGGAACATGACAGAGTGTTCAATTTTGAACAGCAAAAAACTGAACTGATGCACTTCAGGCAAGTAGCATCAGATCTTGAATTTGAGAAATCAAGACTCTCTCACCATTTGACGCAACAAAATGAGTTTATGGAAAGGCTTCGGAAAAGTTCTTATACAAATGATCTCGAAAGTCAGCTATTTGAAATGCTAGAGTACTCAATTGCTGCAGATGTTAAACTTGCTTATGTCACAAAACAATATGAAATCCTACTTCAGGAACTTGTGCAGCAACTTAAGTCCTCAGATGAGTACCTTTTGGAGCTTCAGAAAAGGTATCATGATATGGAGGCTATGTTAAATCAGCGCCTTGCAAGTGAAGTTCATTTGACTGAGGAAAATTCTAATTTGTTGACCAGCTTTAAAACCCTAAGAACAGAATTCGAAGCTTCTGTAGCTCAAAACAAGCTTCTTTCGGATTCTAATCATGATATCAATTATCAACTTGAGGAGTACAAGAGGAAGTTGACAATGATGCAAACCAGTTTTTCAAAGGATAATTTACAAGCTGTAATGGTAGAACAGCTAAAAGACACTTTGGCAGAGGCTGAAGAGGATATTCATCACTTGACATTGTTGAAAGAGGAGTTGGAAATTTTATCAATAGTGCTCAAAGGCAAGGTGGATGAACAATATACTTATATGACTTCATTGGAGGATAATAGAGACGAACTCCTGATGCTTCGATCCCGATGTAACGTGCTGTCCCACAAGCTTTCTGAACAGGTTATGAAGACTGAAGAATTTAAGAACTTATCCATCCATTTGAAGGAACTCAAAGACAGAGCTGAAGCTGAATCTTCCCATGCTCGTGAAAAAAGAGAACCTGAAGGACCACCAGTTATCATGCAGGATACCTTGAGAATTGCATTCATCAAAGAACAGTACGAGACTAAAATCCAAGAACTGAAGCAACAGCTTTCTATATCCAAAAAGCATGGTGAAGAGATGCTTATGAAATTGCAAGATTCAATTGATGAAATTGAAAATAGGAAGAAGTCGGAAGCTGTGAACATGAAGAGGAACAATGAGCTATCGTTCAAACTCTTGGAATTGGAAACAGAATTGCAGTCTGTACTTGCAGAAAAGCGTGAAAAGGTCAATGCTTATGATCGCATAAATGCAGAATTGGAATGTGTGGCTCTGAGCCTTGAATGTTGCAAGGAAGAAAAAGAAAAGCTTGAAGCTTCTTTCAGAGAATGTGAGGTGGAAAAATCTCAACTTGCTGTTGAACTTGACTCGATAAAAGAACTGAAGAAATTCAGATCTTTCAGCAATGTTCAAAAGGAGGAAAATAATGAGGTGGCTGAAGTAGAGTACGTTCTCAATGAGTCATCTAGAAACTCTTCCCCTAATTTCTTCTGCTCAGTGTGCTCAAAAGAAATGGTAACTACTCAGTTAGCAACATATTGAAATAAGTTTTTTACCATTTATTCTATAATATTTGTCATGCACAAAGTAGTATGGATCTTGAGAACCATGATGCATACCCAAGTAGAAGTTTTTTGAGGTATGAAGCAAGAGAATAAAGTATATACATGTTAATTGGTGTCGAGTCTGTCAACCACCTCCATGGAGAAAAAAAAAAAAAAAAAAAGAACTTCTTTTGCCATATAACCATAAAATTT